CCAAGTGTTTGCAAAGGTAAGGGGTCCTGTTTGTCTTAGGATGAAAGTCTTGAAATATTTGTTTTCCTTTATGTCTACCATATATATAAATATATATATATATAAATTGCTAGATAGGATTTGACAAGCACTAAATATATTAGAAAGTAGTACTAGAATTGAATGTGAGCCATATTCAGGAATATCCATAGCATTTTTGGTTTATTTGTTTCACAAGTTGGTCATTTGAGTAATACTGTAAACCACTTTAATGATATTTCAGTAATTATTTCACAAATTTAACTAGATATAAGTATGTTAATGTGTTTATCAAACTTTCAGACCTGTCCAGAGGACTGTATGAGATATTGTCAGCTGTATTAAGAGGCAACTTGACACGTGAACATGTGCGACCACTTCTTGCAGAAATGCTTGTAAGTAACATAGAACTGTAGCTAATATATCTATTTATTTACTTATTTAGTTATGTATGTATATCTGTATATATATATTATTTTGTGCTATTTGTGAGAACATACATGTTTATTGTATTGTATTTAAACATTACCATATTTCATAAGTATATTTTTGGAATTACCAAGTAATTGCATTTTTCACTAAAATTGTGAAAGAAGCAGAAAGAGAGAGAGAAACAGAGACAGAGAGAGCAATATAGGTAGAGAAGAAAAGGTAAAAGTTTTCTGTTTATAAGCGATTGTGACATTTAGAGAGTAACACCCCTACGATCTCCACAGAACTGGCACCCGGATCTGGCATCACAGCTGGTGGAGGTGGCTACCCTTCTTGACTTGGAAGCTTCCACCATTGACCGCCTCAGCAGAAATCGTGAGCAGCTGATGATGCTGCTCAAATCCTTAGACATTGATAAAATGATGAAGGAGAGGTTGGAGATTGAAACCCTCGGAGATTATGGCATAGTGAAAAACAAGAAAAATTTCCACACAAAGCAAATAAAAGTGAAGACTAAGTTATTGTAAGTATATTTAGATAGGTAGATCTAGCTAATTTGTGACATTAAATTGATACTATTTGCAAATCTTTTCCCTGTATAAGAGCATATTGTGTAATGTAGGATAATTCTATTTACAAATATCCCTTTGACAAGTGAGTTCTTACTAATACCTTTCTCATAACCCACAGCTACAAACAACAGAAATTCAACCTATTACGAGAAGAAACAGAAGGTTATGCTAAGCTTGTGACAGAGCTCAATCAAGAGATAACAGAGAGGGTTACACCTCAGTCAATCATCCAAGTTATTCGTAGTCTTATTGGTAATCCAAAAGAGTTTTCTGCATATAAATTTGTGTTCATTCATGTGTGTCTTTGTGTATATATATGTGCAATTACAAATTAATTAAAAATCTTTGAAAGTGTGCATAGATAATTTTTTGTCATATGATTTCAGCACATAAACTTACTTTATAATTTCAGGTGGTTTCAACTTGGACCCCAATCGTGTCTTAGACCTTATCTTGGAGTCCTTGGAGGCTCGGCCATCCCAGCACCAGTTCTACACAGGACTCCTCAATCAGTATCCCTGTGAGTCAGCCACCATCAGTGAACTCTTGGGCTTCAAGCTCAACAATTACGCCTCGAATGGGAAGGACACCAAAGGGATCTACACCACCATAGCACTCCTCATCCAGGCCAACATCCTGCAGCTTTCCGATATCTACTCATGGGTAAAGTTCCATAGGCCTACATCAGTTATCATTGTTATTGCTTTGGAGTAACCCTCTTTTTATAGATTACTTCTCCTTTTCCTTCTCTCATTTTCTTTTTCTTTTCACTTCCCTTTACCTTGTGAATCCCCGGGACATGTTTTTATGTTCGTTCTACCCTTCTGCTCATCTTTCCTTTTCCTTTTTGAATTGTTCCTTTTATATTTTTTCTATGTTATTTTTCTTCCTCTGTTTACCCTTTCTTCATCTCATTATCGCCTTTTTTCCTCCTCTGGGTTCTCTTCGTTCAGATTCCAGATTTTCCTTCTCACAGTTTACTTTGAAAAATATTGATAATGACTTATAAATGGGCACAAAGGTGGCTTACTTTTAATAAAACAAAAAACGGGGGGGGGGTTGATGTTACCGAGAGCAACGCACAGAGATAGAGCTAAATGGACAATGTCATCTTGTAGAGCATAAAAAAAGAGTAGGAATCAATACAGGTAAATCTGCAGCATCCTCATATTTACTGGGAAATAACAAAAATAGGCTCTGCATGGCACCACTCTGAGACTAAGTCTCCATCCATGTTTACCTTGCGAGGACCGAAAAAAATGTGACGCGTAACTCATTACTGCGATCTATCTCGGAACAATTACTATAAATCCATCTTGATTTCCCTACTTCTTATCAGATATGCTAACTCTATCATTTCTCCATGTATATGACAGTTATGCCATTTCATGCACAATCTGCTCAACATTCATCCCATCTTTCTATTCTAAAGGCCATTTTCTTTACTCACCCACACACCAGCTGACCCCAGAGGACTCCTCCATGATTGAGTGCCACCTGAAGGAGGAGAGTGAGGCAAAGGAGATTGTCAGAAAGCTCAATGTCATATCTACCAAAGACAAGGATAAAGACAAGGAAAAGGAACAAGAGCGACAAGAAGAGGAGGGTCTCAAGGAGGACTTCAAAAATCAGGAGGTGTATCTGTCCAATCAAAAGATCCAGTTGTGCATTGCTCTCATTGAGGTTAGTCAAATGGTAGAATTCAGTAGTTTAAGGCAGGAAGATTTTTCTGTTAAGTATTGCTGCTGTAAAGAATATGAAAATATTGATATAGTCTTTAATCTGATGGTTGTGAACTGAAGTAAATAGTTAAATAGAATAAATAGAACTCATTATTTTTCAGTGTTGTGATTTAAAATGTTAACTTTTCCTTCTTGTATTTGTCCATAATATTTTTCCTACCAAAACAGGTTGGAGCTTGGGAGCATTTTGTAGAAATTTCATCTCGTTTCCCTGACTATTATTTGATGTCTTTTCCTCCTGTGAGTCAAGCACTTTGTCAGCTAGTTCATGCCACCATTGAACCCATCTACAGAGAGTAAGTCAGTCATTTCCTCACACTTTTTTATAGTCAATGTATTTGTTTAATAAAATAATGAAGCTAAGGAGATATATGTGCTTTGTGACATTATTGATGAAATGATATGTGTGTTTTAAGCATGTTTAATTATGTTATATTTTTGAAATGGTCAGCCATTTGTAAGCACAGCAAGTCATTATTGAAAATGGTTTAACACTCATGCCAATTTACAGGGTGTGTAATTTACCAAGTCGACTCAAGGCCTCTCGCGTGAAGCCACTAGACAACCCTCTTGCCCCACAACCAGCCAGGAAGTTCAGTGATGTCTGCTCCACAGTGTTCCCCATGCTGCTTGTGCTTGGGCCACACCTGTACCATGACCCAGGGCTCATGTGCAAGGTTCTGAGGGTGGCTCGTGTTGCTCTCAAGGAGGTGAGAAAGACAAGTGTTGTATAGGTGGTTTCATACAGCACTGCTGCATATATATCATGTGAATAACATAATTTTTATAGTATTATTATTATCAACAATATCTGGACAATATTCATTTTCCTGTTTTCTGTTATTTCTTGTTCATTTTAAATGTTCCTCTAGTGATAAGCTTTTGATATTTGATATCAAATTTCTGTCCTAGAATGTGACAGAGCTCTAAATTCAAAATTAAACTGCTCTTAAAATTTCACTAATTATAACCTCAGACATACACACTGAGTTACAAACTCCTGTAGCAGTGAGGCTTAATCAATACCAACAATACAAATTGTAGAGGGAGAAAAGGTATAGGAGCCCTTTTTGCCAGAGCAGTTCAGTTCTTGGATGAAAAACACAACTTTTTGTTCCTTTACATTTTTTGCCATTCATTTACTGTTATCTTTTGAATTACAAATGATTTTAGTAGTGTTAAATCTTTCATGCAGATATGAATGACATCTTAACTCTAGTTGACCTTTGCAGACACCAGTAGGGGAAGATGGTGAGCGGTCCAATTTCTACTTTGAGTTTTTGAGTGTTTTGGATGAAGTTCTCCTTCCGTCGCTCTCCATGCTAGACTCCAACCCATGCCTGGCAGAGGAGATTTGGGAAACACTCAAGATATATCCCTATCAGCACAGGTTAGTTCTCACCAGTTTAAGAAAATGAATAGATAGGAGAGTTTGAAGTTGGGTATGTTTAAAATTGTCTGACCGATTGTGTAAATATAAATAAAGTTTGGTGCAGAATTTTTTACAGTAAAAGGCTGATGTCATTGTGTCGAGTGACTTACAGATATAGGTTGTATGGCCGATGGAAGAATGAGTCCTTCACACAACATCCCATGTTGATGAGGCGTCGGGCTTGGCTGCTCAAGAAGGCTAAGTTCATCATGATGCGCATCACAAAAGAAACCATCAAGCCTGTAAGCCGAGGCATTGGAAAATTGACGCATAACAACCCTGGCCCCATATTCCATTATGTGAGTGATAATGCTTAGGAATCTCTCTCTATCTCTCTTTCTCTCTTTCCCTTTCCCTCCTTCCTTCCTTTCATTCATTCCTTCCCTCCTTCCTATCTTCCTTCCCTCCCTCCTTCCTTCCCCCACTCTCTCTCCCTTTCTCCCTCTCCTTTTCCCTTTCCCTCCCCATCTCTTATACCCTCTCATACTGTCTTGCTCTTCCTTGCCTCATTTCATTTCCTACTGATTTGAAATGGAATGTTATAGATGTTATATTTTTAACCAAAAGGACTAGATAATGCTGTCCAATAATGACAGTCACCAGCCTCTTGAGTGAAAAATTAGAAACATGGAAAACAAACATTTTCCTGCTGTCTGTGATGTTGGCTGCAGTATACAATTTTTCATGTAAATGAGACTTTTAAGCATAATTTTGAGGGGCTTTAACTCCTGAGTGACTGCTCTTGGGCCAAACAAGTGAACAGCTGTTTAGTGCATGCAGCTTAGAGCACCCTTGTCCATGTGTGACATGGAAACTTACCATCTTGCGTTTCAGGCTGGTTCATTTAGGCCAAAATAAATGTCAAACAGTATAAACATGTTAAACAACTTTCCCCCCTTGTAATAACTGTGAACTTACTTATCTTTTATCTTTACAGATCCTGATTCAAGTTCAGTTGTATGACAACCTAATTGGCCCTGTGGTAGACAGCTTTAAGTACCTGACCTCTCTCTCCTATGATATGCTTGGATACTGCATTGTGGAAATTCTCTCAGAGAACAAGGATAGAACAGCACATGAAGGTCCTCTAACTTTGCCTATATTGAAATTATGTAAATAATATCTCTAGGTTAATACTTTCACAGAATATTGCTGTCTTTGGTGGATTAGGATTGTCTGGTTTGCACAGATGTAAACATTTCAGTGTCCCCTTTCAGAGATGATCATCTCACCATGGCTTCAGTCCCTGTCCAGTTTTTGCGGCACAGTGTTCAAGAAATATGTCACAGACCTTGGAGGCATCTTACAGTTTGTGGCCAACCAACTCAAGTCAGAAAAATCCATTGATCTCCTCATATTACGAGAAATAGTGCAGAAAATGGGTGGAACAGACACTTTAGAAGATCTCACAGCTGAACAGGTTAGGGAGTAGTGCCCCATTAGCAAGGAGGCATTTCCATTGTTGGTTATGTGTTTGTAATATGTTCATTTTAAGGCAGTTGCCTAAAATCTGCACTATTTTCTTATTTGTTTCTGATATACCAGTAGTTGTTCTGCTCTGAAATTTTAAAACTATGACACTATTTGGTTTTCTGTCAGTCATGAATCTTTTGATTTAGATTATATAATACATATTTTTCTTATTCATTTTTCCCTTGATAACATTACAAGGCTGAATTTGTTTAGTATTCATTGAACAAAATCAATTAAGTTTTGGCAGTCTGTGATGGATTATATTAGTTTAGTTTAGCATAGGAAACCCCTAAATGATTTCTAAACTGTCAAGACTATGGCAATTTGTTTTATCCGCAGATACTAGACCACCTAAAAGAAAGAAGGAATTTTTAAACATAAATGTAAATATATAAATGGCATGAGGATTTTTTCTTTCTTTCTTTCTTTTTGATTGGATAGATTGCTATTTGAATATAGGTAGTGAAATTATTTACAATATTTAACAGATTTACCATCATAAATATTTAATTATCATTATTAATTTGCAACAAGAATTTTCAAAATCGGTTCATAACATACAGTGTTATTTTAACTGTCAAAATATCACATTTTTATGTTGAATACTTCATGGCACCATATAGATAATAGAGACAATATAAAAAGATTACTTACTTAATCCTTTGGCCTAGTTTGGGAGGTTAGTAATGCGAGGCCAGGTCAAGTTCAGGTCACTTAGGGTCACAATTTTGCTTCCACTGTGTGGCTATGTGGGGAGTGTTCCCTCACCAAATATGCATATTCAAATATTCAAGTTCCTGGTATCCTGTAGTTTATGTAAATAATCTTGTTTATGTAAATTACTTCGAATGAAGTCCCCCGTTTCTGTTCTGGCTCTGACCCCTTAAGCATCTTTCGAAGAAGCAGGCTTGACAAATCCCTCACTCTGTGCTCATACTTTTTCTCAAATCTGAGGTAATTCTTCAACTGTTGGCATAAGGGGGGAGGCTTGCTTTTATCTACTGCTTTCCTAAAAATGCACCAAGCAGAGTCACAGAGAATGTGATACTGGTTGCCTCCCTATCATGTGAAATGCAAGGCCAAAAAACTTCACCGTGAGGACAGATGTCCCCCCACTTTCCTGGATGGCCTTGCCAAAGTATCTTTGGTTGGCATTAGTCTGCTTGTCTTTTAGTTGTTGCTTCCCTCTGATTGAACTTTTTCTCACAGTTTTCCTTTGTTTGTTTTTCTTGTTGTTTTCAACAATTCTTCTCTCAGTTTCCAGAGACTTGTGGCCATTCTTTTTTGTATGTGAATTATACACTTTCCCTTTGCAGCTTTTACATTACTGTACTGTCCATTTTGCCATTCATCTTTGTCACTTCTTTGTAGGCTCTGGAATTGCCATCACTGAGGAAGATCACACATCTGAATTTGTCTCTTTCACTCCTCCCTCAATTCCTTCCATCTCCATTGATCCCAATAGTCCAGAATAATTTGTCTTACATTGTCCACTGTGCATAATCTTGTGTCATTCATTGAAGCTGCTGCTCCTCTTCCTCCTCTTCCCCCTCCCCCCTCCCCCCTTCATTGCACATGATTGGTGATAATTGCTTAGCACTTCAAAGTCAAGAACAAACCCTGATGATATCTCCATTACAAAGCTCACTGCTATATATGGCTTATGGCCTCAAGTGAGCCAAGTGCCATCAAAGATAACAACTACATTTACACTGTCTTTTCCTTACCCTTCCATTTCATATAGTTTCTGTACATATAGTGTGCTTAAGCACTACTATTCATTGTAAAAACAGTTCATTTGTTTATAAATGTAAGTAGCATGTGTACTGAATGTTGTGGGAGACATCCCAAGTGTTCCCAGATTGGTGGAAAGGCTTGACAAGCCTGCCTCCCAGTAACCCTCAGAGAGAGAATGATGCACATGTATGATATTCCCTTCTGTAAAGTCACTGTCCTGTGCTATGTGGTGCAGCAGTATCAATCTCATCCAGCAGTCTTGCTGACCTGCGCTCAAATCCCTCGCCGCCATTGGATGGTAACCCTGGCCATTCCTTGCACACAGGGGATAATGTAGAAGCAAAAATGGAACAGACAGTATGTCACACCAAGAATATCCATTGTAACAAATGGAATCAAACTAAATTATTATTCTTCTCCTCCTCCTCCTCCTCCTCCTCCTCCTCCTCCTCCTCCTCTCATCACATCAAATGTTTGTACAATCAAAGTAATTGGGTTCTAAGTCCTTAAGCTATCAAATACATCTTTGCCTTGTCTGTAGCATACCCTCTTTGAACTTACAGCTGAGTGCTATGTGTGGTGGAGAACTCCTTCGTCGGGAAGCAGGACAGTATCAACAGGAGAGGAACACCAAGAGGTCTTCTCTCCGTTTGAAGGAGGCTCTCCTGGAGAATGACCTTGCAATACCTTTGTTGCTGCTTATGGCACAGCAGAGGTCATCTATTGTGTACAATCAGACAGAATCACCCCATTTAAAACTTGTAGGGAAGCTGTATGATCAAGTAAGTGTATAATCAATAATTACTTTAAAGAGAATACCATGAATCAAGTTTCATTTAATTTATACTTCAGTTCAATAATTTCTGGAGAGTTCATAAAGTAAAATATTTATGTGCTTCATAGTAAGAGCAACAAGAAATCTCCATTTTATTAACCCATGGACATCAATGAAATCTAAATATATTCAAATATCTATAGATGACATCAGTATTTTTTTCTTCTTCTTTTGCTTCTCACTCTTTTCCTTTTTTATTTCAATATTACAGTGCCAGGATACAATGGTGCAGTTTGGCTCATATCTCTTCCAAGTTGTCACTATAGAGGAGCTGAGTGATCGGCTGCCAAGCATTGGGTCATTGCTCTCTGATTACCACATCAACGCTGATGTTGCATTCTTCCTCGCACGTCCTCTTTTTATAAATATGTTAAATGTAAGTCTAGATAGTTTGTGTGTGTGTGTGTGTGTGTGTGTGTGCGTGTGCGTGCGTGCGTGTGTGCGTGTGTGCGTGTATGCATATGAGAGAGAGAGAGAGAGAAAAAAAAAAAAATTTCCAACAGAGACATATAATGTATCTGAAAACCAGAATTGTGGTAAACCTCTTTATTTGAACAATCCAAAATCATTAGACCTTTTGGGTGAGCTTCCAGTCATCTCTCACCAGAAATGGGTTCTTACTTGCTCTAAACATCTGATGGTTTTGGATTTTGTTTCAGAAAAGATGTCACTGTAGTGCTGGTTTTATAACTCATCATAAGTATATGTTTGTACTATTTGAATAAGTTTGTATTATTTTTTTATCACTACCCTTCACAATATGTGTTTTTGTATATATTTTACTTGCCTTTATTTCAACAGTCCAGATATGATGAATTAAGAAGGCAAGATCGTGGTGAGAAGAAACTGACCATTGAACAAAAGAAAGATCGGTATATTCAGGCTTGCAATGAAGTTTTTGAACCCATTGTTTCCAGCATCCAGCCACACTTCAGTATTAAGGTATAGTACTTAGTGAATACGAGGAGGAAATATAAGTAATATGCAAAATTAGAAAATCCTTGAGACAATAATGAGCCAAGATTCTCAGACTCTCTGTTTTGTTGGACTTAGATGTTACACCACTAGGCCAAATTGCATTTAAGACTCTAAACTGCATGGCTAGAACCTATTTTGTCTATTGTCAGGTCTGGGAGGACATGGATCCCTCCTTCTTCCTCACTTTTTGGACACTCACCATGTCTGACCTGGAGGTCCCACACCACATGTATGAGAAGGAGATCAAGAAGATTGATGCCAATGTTAGCGTAAGTGACATGATTTTTGTTTCTGATGCTTGAAGATTTTGAAGTTGGTGTGTCAGTAGATTATATAATTTTGGGAGCTTATTAATTTTCCTTCAGTACTTGCACATCACCCATAGTAATTTTTTCCAAGTGAAGTGTTAAAAAGCACCTTTATGTTGGTATGATATTACTATCCTATTTGTACATTAACTGCCAAGGCTTTGTCAAAGTACATAAGATTTATTTTCATAATCTATTATTTTTTCCAAAGCCATCAACAAACAAGCGCAAGAAGGAGACTGACCGCCTGTTGGCCCTGAAGGAGAAGCTCCAGGAAGAGGAGAAACGTCAAAAGGAGCACGTGGACAGAGTGTATGCCAGATTGCAGCAGGTGGGTTTTCCTCCTTTTTTCCCTCATTGTTTCTTCTTTTTGTTGTTAGTGTTGTTGTTTTCTTCATTATGTTTATATTTTGTAGTCAGTAGTAAAACCAATGACTACTTTAATAATCTGTTATACCCTTGTCTTCATCAAA